CTCCAGCATCGGCAGTTCCTACTATCTCTGCCAAACGGTTTTTAATTGTATATCATTAATGGATGTGGTTCTGTCCTTGGTGTTTGCATGTGTTTTTTTTAATCTGACAGAAGTCTTGTATTGTGTTTGTGTGAACAAACTCTGACCTCCTTTTGAATTTCCTACTTGGGAAAGCTGACGGCTGAATGCTTTTCCAAAAGCACATGGCTTAATTGGTACTGATCAAACATCAAACATGAGAACAGTGTTATCAGTTATGTTTAGCACAGTAGCAGGTATCCTTTTCACAAGGTCACTAGTCACTGCTTTAATTATTTTTCCTGAGATTTAGAAACACGGTTGGTAAAATCGTTGATGCTAAAAGCATAGAAAAGTGGCACATCAGATATGAATCGTATATTTCTCATACTATGGATGCATACTGTCACCTGCTGAAACAAATGTGTCAGCTGTTGCTAATCACCTTTTAAAGCAGTCTTTAAAAAGCTCCATGAAACTCACTGGTTTCTATCAGATCAAAGTCTGGTTTGGCTCATAGACATAAAGCTTTTCAGCTGTAAGCTTTGACAGCTGTGGTGATGTGACAGTCCTGTTATAAACTTCCCATTCACCAAAAAAAATACAGCAGATCAAACAGTTCTTTGTTTATTTTTTCATGCCTTTCTTTCTCTTGTATGGATGAACTTCCTCATCAGGCATGGCTCTCCATCTTCCTCAACCATCATGATTGGTATTAATATTTCTGTCTAATTAATGTGTTAATTTGAGAAGTGCAAATGTATTTTACGTGATATTTCCTGCATGACAGATTTTCTAATGAGGATGAACAATTAAATTTTAATGCCTTCAGCAATGAAATTTAATAACACTCCGCATTGTTATAGCCCATGAAATAGCAATAGACTTTTTAAATTACCACAGTCTAAATGTTTGCCACATTAACAACATGGTATTCAATCACTTCCAGATAATTGGTTTGCTGAATGTATTTACGCCACAGAAATCACTTGAAGAGTTTCAAGATGTGTAAGTATTTTATGTATCATTTTTAAAGGAAAAATCATTTGTTGCACTGCTTTCTGAAATGTCGCAAAGTCAACCCGGTGAAATGGCAACATTTGCATGCCAGATAGCATAAGCAGATTGTGATGGTGCCAAATGGTTCCACAGCAAATGGATCAGGTCAAAACTGTACAGACCTGCCATGAATGGTGGTGGACAATTAAAAAGCTTACTAGGGGAGGCAGCTCCTCAAATATCCTCATCCTCACGTGGGAGACCAGTGCAACAGTGTAAACAATAAGGTGATGGTTGCATTGCAACCATCTTTAGCTAGAAGTTTCAAGTGGATGATCCATCTGGGCCTTTTTAGCATCAGATGTCAGTCTCAGTCAATTTGATCCACTCCCCGACCAAGAAACAATTTGAATTGTGTAAAGGCCCTGACCATGTTCTGGTAATAGTACTGAATACGTGTGCTCCAGGACTTGCCATACCCCTTGCCAAGTTGTCCTAGTACAGCTACAGCACTGGCATCTACTTGGCAATGTGGAAAATCGACCACTATGTCCTGTACATAGGTCACATCCAATTCGACTAATTAGCCCTCTCTCCATCTACTTCCAGTTGTCAGTAAGGGGATGAAAAGAGACAATGGCTTAGCAATAACCTGTTCACTGAAGCTTAGCCGATAGTCTGCCAGGACCCCTCAGCTCCTGACCTCCTGGCACGAACATGGACAAAAGAGCTGAATTCCAGAGGTGAGCTGAGGATCACATTGAGGCCACATTTGACTGAGTGTGGCATCAGCAAAGCTGAGTCAGAGAATAAAGGAAACCGCTCTCTGCTGGCTGGAGTAATGCTTGCATGATGGAAGACGTTTGGGGTTGCTGGAGGTTAGACACCTCAATTCTGTGACCTCAGTGCAGGTGTTCCTTAGGGTAGTGTCCTAGGCTTGGTCAACTTCCGTTGCTTCATCAGTGACTTACTCCATCATAAAGTCAGAAGGGGGGACGTTCACTGATGCTGATCATTGTGCAGTGATCATTTGCAACTCCTCACATACTGAAGCAGCTGATGTTAAAATGCAAAAAGACCTGCGCGGCTTCCAAGTTTGGCCTGATAAATGGCCAAAAGCACGCTCCTCATGCACATGCCGTCTCCAGTGAGTGAATTTAACTGTCGCCCCTTAACATTCAATCGCATTGCTTTTGAAATCCCCTCTATCAACAACCTGGGGGTTATCATTGACCAGAAACTGAACTGAACTAGCCATGTAAATACTGCGGCTACAAGATCAGGTCAGACTAGGAATCCTGCAGCAATTAACTCAGGGTGGCACAGTGGCTCAGTGATTAGCACTGCTGCCTCACAGTGCCAGGGACCCAGATTCAATTCCACCCTTGGGCGACTGTCTGTAGAGTTTGCACGTTCTCCCCGTGTCTGTGTGTGTTTCCTCCCACGGTTCAAAAATGTGCAGGCCAGGTGGAGTGGCCATGCTAAATTGCCCATAGTGTTCAGGGATTGGTAGATTAGGTGGGTTATCAGGGGAATGGGTCTGGGCGGGATGCTCTGCCTGTTTCCACACTGTAGGGAATCTGTGATCTTCTGTGATCTTCACTATCTGACACTCAAATCCACTATCTAGAAGGCACAAGTTGGGAGTACTCCCCACTTGCCTGGATAAGTGCAGCTTCAATAATTTAGCAAGAAGCTTACCACCGTCTGGGACAAAACACCCCCACTTGATTGGAACCGGAGTAGAGTTAGGGTTAAAAATTCACTCCCTCCCTTCATCACTGATGTCCCGTACACACTGCTGCTACCACCTCCAAGATGCACTGCAGAAATTCACCAAGGCACCTCAAATGGCACGTTCCAATTCCATGATCGCTACCACCTAGAAGGACAAAGACAGCACCTACATGGGAACACCACCTCCTGCAAGTACCGCGCCGAGCCACTCACCATCTTAACTTGGAAATATATCGCCGCTCCTCCAGTGTCACTGGGTCAAAATCCTGGACTTCCCTCCCTAATGGAATAGTGGATGTACTAAAGCCGAATGGACCAGAGCAGTTCAAGAATGCAGCTCACTGCCAGCTTTCCAAGGGCAATTAGGGATGAGCAATAAATGCTGGCCCAGCCAGCGACACCCACATTCCAGGAATTAATGAAAGTGTTTTTGCTAGTTAGGCTATGCAGGCGACAATAACTCCATATTAAATTAAGAAAAATGTTCAAGTTTTCTGATGCATTTTTTTAAACCATGAATACATAATTGTGTTTTATTCTTCCCCTGAATAACATTGCTCACAGTTATATAGTGATGGAGCTCATGGATGCCAACCTGTGTCAGGTGATTCAGATGGAGCTGGACCATGAACGAATGTCTTATCTACTTTATCAGATGCTTTGTGGCATCAAGCACCTTCATTCAGCTGGCATTATACACCGGGTTAGTCATGCCTTTTGTTCAGCTAGCTTTCTGAATGTTGTATTGTGCTAAATTTTAAGTTAGCCAGTTACCATCGCCAGAAAAGCTATCTTTGACAAAACAACTGTGGATGTTAACTGGCTGCGGTATAGTATGTTGTGAAGGCACATTGCAATCCATTGGCTTAGCAATACTAGCAACTATTGTCCCGCTCACACTCTTCCTCAAGATGGTTAGAGTGGGTTGGTATGCCTCTCTATAGAGTTGGAGAGGTGGTTGATGTATTTTGACATCTAGAGGTAATTCTGTACTGCAGTTTTGAATTATTTGTCAATAACATTGCAAGAACTAGAGGATCAAGTCACAGCTGCTCTCCTCCATAAAGACGTCTTGCCAATAAAACTGTTGATCGAACAGGAGAGAAAAATAAAGATGTCTGGTAAAGGAATTGGCTTTTATATAGATCATGGTGTTGCTCGTTACAAGGTTATTGAAATGCAGACTTGCAGTAAAAAGTTGATTTCTGCTTTTTTTTCTTGCAAGACAAAGTACTCGGTGCCCAGAAGCTGAGTTGAAAGGTGACTCAAGTTTTGGAACCATAAAACCAAAGCGAAGTTAAAGCGCAGAAAGAGGCCTATCGGCCTACTGTGTCTATGCCAGTCCCACTTATCAGCACTTGGTCCATTGCTTTGCAGGTTACAGTGCTTCGTGTGCGGATACACATTGCTTTTAAATGAGGGTTTCACCTAAACCACCAAACTAGGCAAATAATTCCAGATTTCTCTACAGTGATCTTTAAATCTATGCTCGTCTTCCCCACTCTCTTTCCCACCCCTCCCAAAAAAAAAACCCAATAACTCTCAGTAAGGGAAACAGGTTTTCACTGTTTGTTCCACCCAAGTCCCTTATTTTGTACAAAATAAAAACCAAAAGAACAGTTCGGAGGAACGATCACCGGACCCAAAACGTCAACTCCGATTTTTCTTCAGAAATGCTGCCAGACCTCCCAGCTTTTCCAGCAACTTCTGTTTTTGTTCTATATTTTGCACACCTGAGTTGTTACCCCTCAGCCGTCTCTGTTCTAGGGAGAACAACGTGAGCCTATCTGATCTTCCCCATTTCTGCAATTTTCAAATCATGGAAGCAGTCTAGTAAATGTCCTGTGATCTCTCTGGAACAGTTATAACTTTCCTGGAATGTGGTGACCCGACCTGTGTACAGAACTCTAGCCGTGGCCCAACCAGTATATTTTACGGTATCAGCTTTACAGCTCTGCTCTTTTATTATACCTCACCCAATAATGGAAAGCATCCCACACGTTGCCTTTTTCCACCTTATCTGCTGGTCTTGGTGCATTTAGAGATCAGTGGGGACAAGCACTCATTCTCTCTTTTCTCTACACCTCTGAATACCCTGCTGTTTTTATTGTGTATTCCCTTGCTGTGTTTGCCCTCCCCAAATGCATAACCTCTCCCCTCCGGATTGAATTCCATTTACACTCAACAAAACCACTGATTGCTTCCTGCAGTCAACAGCCATCTTCTTCACTATCAACCACCCAACCAATTTTGCCGTCATCTATAAATTTCCCACACTTAAAAGTCTAAATCTTTAATGAGCCAACAAGTGACTCAAAACTGAACCGTACGGAACACCACTGGAAGGCACTTTCCATTTGCAAAAGTGCCCATCAACTTTGCCTTCTGGTTCCTGCCACTGAACCAATTTTGGATCCAACCTGCCATACTTCCCTGTACCTGGGAGCTTTAATTTTTAAGTTTGCCAAGTGGGACCTTTGTAAACAAAATGCACTGCATTCCAGTCATCAATATGCCTTGTTATTTCTTCACGGTGAGGACCAAGAGGTTTAGAGGGGTGTGATGAAGTTTTTTTTAACCCAGAGGGTGGTGATCACCTGGAATGCGCTGCCTTGGGAGCATGGTCGAGGTGAATGACCTCGCATGCTTTAAAAAGTACCTGGATGAGCACTTGACACGTATAACATTCAAGGCATGGGCCAAGTGCTGGTAAATGGGATTGGGTTGAAGATCAGGTGTTTCTCACATGTCATGCAGACTCGATGGACCAAAGGGCCTCTTCTGCACTGTATAATTTAATTCAACCCTGTTAGTTACAAATGACCTCCTCTTAACAAAACCATGCTGATTATCCTGATTGATCTGTCCCTGTACAAGTAATTGTTTATCCTAACTTGCAATGTTGATTTCAGTATGTGCCCACCAATGAGATCAGACTGATCACCCTATAATTATTTGGACTATCCTTTTCACTCTTGAATAATGGTACAACATTTGCAGACCTCTGGTATCTTGCCTGTGTCTGCCGAGGGTTGGATAATGATCCTCGGATGATCTGCTGTTTCCTCCTTGCCATTCTTTTTAATAGAAGTTATGAGGAAAGGTTGGATAAACTCGGATTGTTTTCACTGGAAAGACAAAGGCTAACGGCGATTTGATAGAGGTCTACAAAATTGAGAGACGTAGATAGGATGGATAGTCGGAGGCTTTTTCCCAGGGTGGAAACATCAAGTACAAGAGGGTACAGGTTCAAAGTGAGAAGGGGAATGTTTAGGGACAAGAGTGGGGAAAATGTTTCACACAGAGGGTGGTGGGTGCCTGGAATGCACTGCCAGTGGAGGTGGTGGAAGCAGGTACGTAGCAACGTTTAAGGCGTATCTTGATAGACACATGAACTGGAGGTAGACAGAGGAATAGAAACTGCACATGGGCAATAGGTAGCAGGTCTAAATAAGGACTAGGAATTGGTGCAGGCCGGGCGCGTTGTGTTGTGTTGTATTATATTGTACTAATAGCCTGAGATACAAATTAGATAGAATTAATTGTAGTTGTCTTTTCCCTACGATGGTAGATTTCAAGAATATGGGGGGCATATTTTTCAGGTGAGAGGAGAGAGATTTTAAAAAACACATGAGGGATAAGTTTGTTTTTTACTTAGAGGGTGGATAGTGGGTCGATTGAACGTCCTGTGGGTACAATTACAATGTTTGAAAGACACTTGTCTAAATACATGAATAGGAAATGTTTGGAGGGATATGTGCCAGGAGCAGGGAGGTGCGACTAGTTTAGTTTGGGATTATGTTCAGTGTGGACTGGTAAGATCGAAAGATCTGTTTCCAGGCTCTATGACTCTATGGTAATTTCTCCACCTTCAAGAGGGACAGTTCTTCTTGTGCTTCCCTGCTCATTGTGCTTTCTCTATCTAGTATTTCTCACACTCTTTAACTAGACTGTCTGCATCATGCCCCTCCTTTGTAAACACAGGGATGAAATATAATCATTTAGAACCCTACCCATATCTCCTGCATTCACACACGAGTTACCATGTATATTTCAGGCCCAACACTTCCTTTAATCAGATAACAAGGTGTAAAGCTGGATGAACACAGCAGGCCTAGCAGCATCAGAGGAGCAGGAAGGCTGACGTTTCGGGCTTAGACCCTTCTTCAGGGTCTAGGCCCGAAACGTCAGCCTTGCTGCTAGGCCAGCTGCGTTCATCCAGCTTGACACCTTGTTATCTCAGATTCTCCAGCATCGGCAGTTCCTACTATCTCTGAAACTTCCTTTAATCACCCTCTTTTGGGCCAGACTGGTTTTAAGTTGGGACACAGACCCTGAAACAGTTTTTAAAAAGTTAAGCATTCTGAGGTAAGCATGACTAAAGATGAGCTTCCTGTGCAGGTTACGTTCATATTGTGTTTAATCTGTTTTAAAATTCAACTGCTGAATAGGTTTAATTGTAATGTTACTGAATTAATTTTGCCCTGAACTTTCTCCCTATTTCCAAACACAACAGCTTGAAGTTTGATAGCAGGCAATCTAAAAGTTGTAGTTTTATAGCTCTGCATTTTATTCTCCCTGGGATTATTTTAAGGGAGCTCAAAGCATTGACAGGTTTTCTAATTTAAATTAATCGATTCCTTAAGGCAGATCTTTTTGTTACTTGTAAGGTAGGAGAGTGTGCTGCATATGTTTGGTTGAAGCAGATGTCTGTGCTTCAGTTAGAATGTTGGAGTCTGTGTGGGATAAAGTGATGTAACACATGTTTGACAGCAACTTCAGACTTCTACGCTGAAGTACAATTCATGCCTGTTGGTTCAGTAATAATTCAACTTGAGGTTTGCTGATATACAAAAATAGTCTGGACCACTCTGGTTTTCTGAGAGAGAAAGAGGGTTGATGGTGTAGGAACTGAGTGATTTTCTTACCCTTCAACAGAATTAATGTTTAAAGCAAATATATATGCCAAAGCATTCACAATGCTTTGTTAACTTTACCTTAGCCATTACTCTGCCAACAATCTCAAATAATTTGTAGACTTTTCATTTTCAGAGAGTGGAGGCTTTTCAACTATTTTGCACTGTGCAGTGTCAAAATCTGTTTAACCCATAAAGACCGTGTCAGATACTGGAGGGTGCCTTTTTCTTGAGGGTTAGAAAGGAAATTAAGATTTTTTTCTATTGAGGAATGGATTGCATGGCTGATTTCTCAACTGAACAGCAGAGTGCAGACTGTACCATTGAATTGGGTTGATGACAGCTCACCAATAATGACAGACTAGATTACACTTTTTTTTAATTCTCCGAAAGGGAAAATGATTGAAAGCTTTCTTTTCTCTCAGATTTTCATTTCTATCTGTTTTTTGTCGGCAAAGTTTCAACTGTGTCCTCGTTCTCTTTTTTAAATTCCTGTAATGCTGTAATCTAAATCCTGTTGTTCAGTCATGAAAGCCCTGTATCCTGAGGGTTTCACTTCAGCGCCCTTGTGGGGATTGCTAGAACTGACCTCTCGTTACACACCAACAGGAAATGCTGCACTACAGTGCTCCAATGGATGGTTGTCAAAAGTGAATTCAAAATTAAAATATGACCTGGTGTTGTAATGAGCATGATTCCCAAGATTCCTTTCTCTTGTGCAAATTGATTTTGGAAATGTCTTATTAAGCATCCTGTAGTTTATCAAATATCAAAGCAATTGTTCTTC